CAATGTTTCCTTAACAACCCACCCAGAAATCAGACCCTCTTCACTTTCACTCTGTCAGTTTTGGAGATGTTTTTCCCTCTGTTTGGGCAGAGAAGGTGAGTCATGGAACAGAGGCAGTGTGGAAATTTACATTCAGCTATGAAAGTGCATGCTCTGACTACCATGAAAAAAAAAATCATCCACACAACTCAGTCTCAGTGTAAGTCACACCCAGCTTTGAAGAAATATGAGTTTAAACCTGTTCTTTTTGGTTGATTGACACTGCTTGCTGTTGGAAGCTGCTTCCTCTGCATGTCACATGTAGCCTTCAGCCTTTGCTTTGGAAGATCTGAAATCTCTCTCCAGGCAGCTGTGTCCAGCCAAGTGGATGGACACAAATACTGGTTAGAGAGGGCTGGGGGGCATCGATTTGCTCTGACCCCCTTATGGAGCAACTTCCCAACCCCTCAAGATGGGGTGTTGCAGAATTCCCAAGTGTTTGATGGCTGGCAGTGCATGGAGAGTGGCTCCCTGCTCTTGGGTTTTCATGCCCTGAACCCTCTCCTCCAGGATGGGCACTGAGCATTTTGTCTTCAAGTGCAGGACTTGTCCTTTCCTTTTAAAATACAGTGCCTGCTGCTGCCACCTGCCTTTTGTGCTGGAGTGGATCCTAGAAATATTCTATATACTGAGTCTGGGATTTGAGGATTTCCTCCTCATCCCAAAAGCTAAACCCAAGCTACCAAACACGAGGTTAATTTGCTGTGAGGACAGGAGGCTTTATGTGAAAAAACATTTCCTGCCATGGAAGAGGAAAAGTTTCAAAAGCCATTGAGAGATCACTTCTTGCTCTTGCCTGGCTGTGAGGGCTTTCACACAGCAGATTTTGGCATCTGCCCTGCAGAGCAGGTGCTCACATCATGCAGGGAGCATTCCATGCAAGAGGAGATGCAGAGAAAGGTGGCTGGGAAGTGTGTGACCCCACAGCAACTGAGATCTGAACCCAACCCTCACCCTTCTCAACCCCTCCACGACATTGTGACAGTAAAACAGAAGCAGAGGTAGAGATGAAATGCCATCCCCAAATATTTGTCCCCAGAAAACCTCTGCATACCTTTCTGAGGAGGAGCACAAAACCCTTAGGAATGCTGACGTGTGGTTTGTGCCAGGTTTGTCTGTCAGGCAGTCCCCAGTTCGCTCAGAACACGTGGGAAATAGTTAAGCAAAACAAATGCAGCTTTTCTATGGGTTCTAACAGTAAGAGGGACACAGGAGAGCTCTAAGCCTCCTTTCCCACCTGCAGCAATCAGCAGACCTGCAATTCATTTTTGGTCAGGAGGAGCTGCAGCCAACAGAGATCTGCCAAGCCCAGGCACTGCTGTGCAGAGGTTTTGGCATTACAGGCTTGCATTTATGTGCTCACATCTCTTCAGGCCCATCCCCAGCTCCAGCCTCCAGCTGAGGAGCAGCTCACAATCTCTGAGTAAGCAACTGGTTCCTTTTCTTTACCCTGAGATGGCATCACTCCTGTCCAGTTTGGAAACTAAGTATAGGAATGATTTCACCCCCCATTCTCAGCCATGTTGGCCTGGCAGACAAGAGCTTTATGCTGCTGGTCAGGGCAGGAAGCAAGAAAGGATGTTATATCAAACAGAAGGCATGGGAGAATTTCAGGTTAGATGGAGCATACTTAGTCACAGAAGAATTGGGCCAGTGCTCTGGGACCTGTGTTCACTTCCTGCAGGAACCCTAGCACAGCCCAAAATAGCAGCAGTTAGGTAAAAGCCAAATATCTTCCCATTTTTCTCCTCACAGCAAATACTAATGCTTACGTCATTAAAGGAGAAGCATAAATAGAACAAGCCTGGGGCTGTGATTTGCAAAGTTCTTGATCTGTGGATGAACCATCAGCTTTTGTCTTATAGCTCACTATTACCCACTTGTGCCATCAAACTTTTCACTGAAGATGCTATCAGGATGAAATAGGCCTTCCTTTCCACCTGACATTTCCACCAGTCAGCTGAGAATCACAGCACCCATCTACAGGTTTTACGTGTGCTGTGGTTTTCATCTCGCTGACTGGGACAGCACAGGACAGCATGCACCAAGGCAAGTGTCCCAGTGGCAGTTTGGAGAGTGTTTTGGAATAGAAGGGAGAGTTTGGCTCTGTGGGTACAAGGTGTGCCACACCTGTTGTCCTCAGGGACACAGAAGAGCCCACGCCTGTTTGATGTCACCATACAGCCTGTGACACTGGGGCTGGCCACTGCTCTCCACCGTGCCCTCTCCACCAGAAACTGGCAGCCAGCATCTGTAGAACTCCTGGAAGTCAGCACAGAGCCACACTCCTCTGCCCATCCTTCCTCCAGGCTTTGGAAATGTTTCCAAGAGCGACTCGAGCCGGCAGAACCCAGGGCCAGGTCCTCAGCACACCCCTCAGCAGAGAGCTGTGGACATCAGAGGAAACAGCCTTGACACACATCAGGATCCTTGGATTGTTCAGGGACACCCTAGAACTGGAACCCCCCCCAGCAGGACTCCTGGCCCACCCAACACATTCAGGGAAGAAGAGATGCTTGGAAGAATTACAGCTTTCAGCAGTAATTGGAGTGTGCAGAATCAATTCCCATTAAAACCAGGTGATTTTAAAGGAGCTGCTTGTCACTTTAGTGCCTTGTAATACTTGAACCTCAAGTCCTGGGGTCCTGTGCCTGGTTCCCAAGGTAAACACATGTGATTTATTTCAGAAAGGCATCTGCAGCACAAGAATTCATGACATACATCCCCGATGGGCAGCGGCCAACTTTTCAAATGTGCCAAGTTGCCAGAATTTTATTAAAAGCTGTTAAGAGTTAGAAAGAAGGTGCAGAGAAAAGCACCCTCCTTCCCAAAGCCAGGTGGCTTAGGCTCCACTCACGCTGCTTCCCGAATGGATGAGGCAAGCTGGAGTCAGAGGTTCCTTCCAGCAACAGCTCAGTCCCCCTGGACGTGTCTCCGTAAGCTGCACAAATATTCTGGGGAGGGGGAGGGAGAGAGAAAAGAGCGAAACCTATTCAATTACATCAAGATCACGACTGGCCCTAGCAGAATCATTTATGGAGTGAGGGAAGCCGGAGCGGTTTGGGCTGGAGCCATCTGCAGTTATTTGGTATATACAGAATCGGTTTCTATGGATTTTATTCACAGGTCACGCGATTCTATACGAGGATGTGAGATCTGAATCTCTCAGGAGGGGTCCCTGGTTGGGGTTTCTATTGCCTTTATAGGCAATGGCTCAGACTTTCTTGCAGCAGTAACTCCTTAAAAACTTGAGGAGAATGGGGCTGGTTTTAGCATCCAGCCCATTCTTTTTTTTTTTTCTCCCCCACCAAAATCTTGCATTTACTTTGTTCCTCTTCCTCTCCATAACATATTTACTAAATGGGGAAACAAGGAAATAATCAGAGAAATATTCTTACTTACTTTTTCCATTGTCTGCATGAATTTTCTCTCTTTCCCACCAGTCTGAGGGATATCTGGTACATAACTCAGCTCCCACTTCCATCTGTTTTTCAGCCTCTCATTGGCCCTTTTTAGGGGTAATTTTGCTTCCATGCCATTGTTGGCTCCTTCCACACAGAGAGTCAAGCCCAAAGGAACTTGGACACACAAAAGAGATTTGGGACAGTGGGTGTAGATCAGAACAGCCCAGAGGCTTCTCTACCTTCCCAGGGAACTGCCCAGGGAGCCCTGAGCTTTTCTGGAAAGCAAGCTGTGGCTCAGAAACAATCTAAAGCTCTTTGGTCTTAACTGTGGATCAGTTTGACTTTAATTGCCCCAAAGAGGCAAACCCAAACCAAGTTATCAGAGCAATTCCTGCACATCCCAGCTGTGTGGAGAAAGCTGGGCCCTGCAGAAGGCTCCCCTGCTGCAGCAAGAAACCTCCATCTTCACCAGCATTCCAGCTGAGGAAGCCTCATCCCAGAATCAAAAGGTTTCACCCATTTCTCATCATCTCCTGATTTTTTGTGTCAGCCCTAGGTAGGACAGCTCGCATCCAGCCCCTGTTTTCAGAAGGCAGGAGAACCTCAGCTGGAGCTGAGGTCACATTCCATCCTTTAAAGCACAGCCGGGACCCCAGGGTGTCTCATGAGGACTGACGGGACCTGCGGGAGCACGGGAAAAGGCACCTGGACCGAGCGGGGCCGAGGGATGGGGCAACACCCGGGGTGAGAGTCAGCCCGAGGGTCGGAGCTGCCCCGTGGCTCGGAGCTGCCCCGGGGGTCGGAACTGCCCCGGGGGTCGGAACTGCCCCGTGGCTCAGACCTCACCTCGAGTCTCACCTGAGCTAATCCCACCTAATCCCACCTGCAGGACCAGGGAAGCACCACCGGCACCGAGCGGGGCTGCGGGACGGGGCATCCGGGCTGCCAACCCGCCCGAGGACCGCAACTGCACCGCGGATCGGAGCCGACCCGCGGTCCGGAGCTGCCGCAGGGCTCGGAACCACCCCGGGGGCTCGGAACCACGCCGGGTTTCGGACCTGCCCGGGGTGTCAGAACTGCCCCAGGGCTCGGAGCTACCCCGGGGGTCGGAGCCGACCAAGGACCGGAACCACCCCAGGGACTGGAGCTGCCCGGGGTGTCGGAGCTGCCCGGGGCTCGGAGCTGCCCCGGGGGCTCGGAGCTGCCCCGGGGTGTCGGAACCACCCCTGGGCTCGGAACCACGCCGGGTTTCGGACCTGCCCCAGGGTGTCAGAGCTGCCCGGGGTGTCGGAGCTGCCCGGGGCTCGGAGCTGCCCCGGGGGCTCGGAGCTGCCCGGGGTGTCAGAGCTGCCCGGGGTGTCAGAGCTGCCCCGGGGCTCGGAGCGGCCGCGGTGTCGCCCCCCGGAGGTGGGGCCCGGCCCGGCCCCGCGGTCGCCCCGCTCTCTCGGTCGCTGGCGGGGCCGGTCCGCCCCCGTCCCCGTCCCCGTCCCCATCCCCGTCCCATTGGCCGCGGCTCCGCGCGTCACCGCTTCCTCCCGCTTTTGTGCGCCGCCCCAGCCGGGCTCCGGCCGAGCGGTGCCGAGCCGAGCTGAGCCGTTCCGAGCCGCGCCAGCCGCTGCGAGCCGAGCTGGTGACACCGGCCCCCGGTGGCCGCGCGTGTCCCTCCGCGGGTGACCCCGGTAAGTCCGTCCTCAGCCCCCCTTTCCGCGGGTCCTCGCCTCCGTGAACAGTTTCGTTCTTTTAATTATTTTGCTGTCTGCAGTGGTGACCGAGAGTTTTGCAGCCGGGTCTGGCTTCCGTGGATTTTTCTTCCTTCCTTTTGGTATTGCAAGTGGGAGCTTGTCCCTGCGCTGTGTTCGGGAGTGTGGCGGTGGAAGCGCGGTCCCCAGGAGCGCTCCCCAGCGCGGGTTCCCGTGTCCGTGGGTGCGGAGCGGACCGAAGCACTGCCCTTCCCGGGGCTCCCCGCTCGCCCCCGCCTTGTGCTGCTGCTCCCGGGTCGCTGTTTTCCCCAGGCTGCTGCCTGGGTGCCTGTCCCAGCTGACAGCGAGCGCCGGGATTAGACTCCAATACTCGTTTTGGGATGCGCTGGCGTCTGGAGCCAGCGGTTTCTGGATGTGGTCGTTTGGGTCCCGGCTCCCTGGAAAGCATCCAGGGAGGTGCGGGGGTTGTTGGGCATCCCTCGCTCTCCTGCAGAGCTCTCCCTGCACCGTCTGTCCGGAGCGGTGAGGATGGGACGGGATGAGCGCGGGGAGGAAGGCTCCGCGGCGGGCACGGACCCGGAGCCCATCCCGGCGTGGTGCGAGAGCCGGGGAGCTGGGAAAGCTGGATTTCCACCTGGACGGAGCGAGCGGCTGCCGTGGGGAGCCGGGATGATGCTCGGGAAGGATTTATGCTGCCGGCACCGAACCTCTGCCCTCCGCGGCTGTGCAAAGGTGGGAGCCGTGGACCAGCTGGGCAGGTCGTGCACGGTGGCCAAGTACAGCTCTTGCTGGCCCTGACACAGCCCGGAGAGAGGCATCTCCCTCGGCTGCTGCTTTTATCCTCCTCTTCGATTCCTGTTTTATAATCCAGTAGTTTTTGTGAGTGGACCTGCTCCTGGTTTGGGAAAGGTCTTGCATGTGTTGCTGGTGCATGAACCAAAAACATGGGGCTCACTTGAGATTTGGAGGCTTGGGATTTGTGCAGGGCTTGAGTGATCCCAGAGATTTCCAGGGTCAAGCTATTTCACTTCTTTGGTTGGGGGAATTTCCTTCAGTGACACCTCCTGGATTTATTTCCAGTCTGGTATGTGCAGTTTGACGTAGCTCTGTGCAGGATTTGTGCATGGAGTGCAGCTCTTGGAAGCAGCTCCTCAGATGTGCAAGAGATCAGTTGCATTTGGGGCTTTGTTCTGCCCGTGTGAGATGGTCCAATTTCCAGAACCCCTGACCTGACATTAATTATAAACAGGGATTCGAGGTTTCCCAGGACTCCTGCAGATCAGAGCAGACCTCCACAGCAGGGCACAGCCTTTGCCCTGGGAAGGTTTTGCAGCTTGTAAAAGCTCCTCTGTTGAGGTAGGACGTGAGGCTGGACGGGCTGCCAGCCTGGTGGGATGTGGATGTAAAAGACCTTTTATACCTTTCCTCGTGCGAATGCATTTTGGTGCTGCAATTTTTTCCACGGGTCCTTAATCTCCACCAGAAATCCGCAGCCCTGCCGTGTCAACGTGTGCTGATGGGCAATGCATCTATTTTTTTGGAGGCTGTCAGAGCCTGTGAGGGAAGTGTTCTCACACAGAGAGACGTGGTCTGGATTTTCACCCAGACGAAGCGACTCCGGCGCGAAAAGCCAGCGGCTGTGGCGGCCAGAGGAGCGGCTCCATCCCGTCCGGAACCTTCCCGCTGCTCCGCGATGCTTCGTGATTTTCTCCTGCAGCCTGGACTCGGTGCTCTGTGAATTTTCCCGTTGGGAAGACGCCCGGTGAGGCTCCCACAACGTGTCTGGCTCCCTGGCAGAGCCGTGGGATGGAGTGTGCTGCTGCAGCATGGAAAGCGATGTGCTTCCAGCCCCGCTCTCCAGATGGACGTGGGAACGAGCGCGAGGGCTGGCAGCAGCTTCTCTTCTGGTGGATCTGGCCCTGCTGTCGGAGACCTGCTGGTCGGGGCTAGAGGGAAGTGAGTCAGGGTTTGCTGTTAGAAGGGATATCTTTTATTAGACTGCTCGGGGAAGGCAGGCTGGCTTTGGAGTGCACGTAGAAGAAAAGAGGCAGTGATTGCTTGGAGTCTGCCTTGGCTCTCCAGACTGAGGGAATCATCTGAAAGAAAACGAGGAAAAAAAAGATTCAACTACAGTTTAACCTGTGCAGTTCATCTGGCCTGAGGAAGCGCATTTCATCCCTCTGCAAATCTCTGGACTCCTTAGATCCTGAGATGCAGGACGGGGACATGCATCCCACATGCCAGCCCTTCACAGGAGGTGGCCGAGTTCTTTCCAGGCTGGCTCCTGCAGAGAGGAGCTGTGGGAGACAGGGATGGTGCTCACTGATGCCTGACGATACCAGGAGGCTGCTGGGCTCTGTCCCTTCCACTCCCTTCTTTGCACAGAGCACAGGCCAAGCACAGTGTGCACAGAAATGTGCAGAATGTCAGCTGTGCACTGGGGAGATGGGAAATGCAGTGTGGAGCCATAGGAAGTGGAATATGGATTTATTTAAACTTTTTTATTTTTATCATTTCCCCAAACGTGGGGGGAAAGCTATAGATGGCCCACTGATACTGAACCTGGCAGGTTCACCCTCAATCCCCAGGCTTTATTTATTTAGCTGTTTAACCTCCACAAGGGGAAATGGGTGACCAGATATTTTTGGTGAATCCCTCCAAGGAGCAGGTCCCCTTTCCCACAGGCCAGGGCAGTTCAGCATTTCTCTCTGGTGCCTTTTCTGCCTTTCCTGAGTGCAGTGTGTGATGCAGAGGTGGTAAATGTCATCCCAGTTGTGGCTGAACCACGCTGTCTCCGCAGGCTGGCCCCATATCCCATGTGGCACGAGCCTTCATCTGATGTGGTCAGTGCTGTGGTGAGCGTCAGACAGGCAAGATAAGGGGTTTTCTGTCTGTGCAGGTGAGCATGCAGGAGTGTGGATATGGGGGCATTTTTGTCTGTTTTCTGTCTGTCCCTGCAGTTCTGATCTGGTCTAGCCAAGTAATTTTCCTTTTAGTCACTAAAATGCTGCTGGTGCCCAAATCAAAAGGGTGGTCAGGCACTGGAAGAGGCTGTCCGGGGAAGTGGTGGAATCACCATCCCTGAAAGTGTTCAAAAACAGTGTAGATGTGGCACATGGTTTAGTGGTGGACTCGGCAGTGCTGAGTTAATGATTGGACTCAATGATGTCAGAGGTCTTTTCTGCCTTAACGATTCTGTGATCCAATCAGTGTGTCTCAGTTCATCTTTAATGACACAAGAAATTAAAAGCTAAGATCTCCTTTAAAAACCAATGCCAGGCCTTGGGGAGCTGTTCCCTGCAGCAGACCTGTTGCACGGACATGAGGAGCACAGGAAGAACACTAGAGGGGCTGCAGGCAGGGGGCACCTGGCTCCCTGCTTTGTTTTGGCAGTGGGAATTTGTTCCAGGATCTTCCCCTGGAGCCACAGGGCTTGGGGCCAGGCTGAGAGCAGGATGCTGGAAGAAGCAGCATAGCCTGGCCCGTGATGGGGACCCTTGCAGCTCCACATCCCTGTCTCTGTGTCCAGGGTGGGCACACAGCATTGCATGTCATCGCTGTGTCTGCTCTCAGGTGCCAGCTTCTGCTCCCAGGGCACTGGGAATGTCTGTGAAGGGAGCCCAGAGGGTTTGACCTGAGCCTTTTAGAGGTCAAAAGTGAAAGCTCTACCTGTGCCCTCTAGAAGAGGGGGTTCAGCTCCCAAATGCATTCCCCAGGCACCTTTTTTTTCTGTGCTGGAAGACTCTGGTATAAATGATAGTGGAGACAAAGTGGCTGAGAATTTAATGAGAATCTGTGGTTGGTTCTGCCCTCCTGAGCTAAACCCCAGGCTGGCCACCATTTTATGCAGAACTAATTGTCACTCCTGCAAGAGCCTCTGCGATTTTATCCTCTCCACTCTGGGAAATGACTCTGTGCAGGGCAGGGAGAACGAGCTGCACTGTAGGAGCAGTGAACCAGGGTGGAGCTGGGCCAGGCTTGGCTCAGAAGCTGCCTGGGACAAAGTCCGGCTGGCAGAGCGCGCCGTGCCCAGCGCCTCGGGACGGATCCTGGAAGGAGCTGGCCAAGCTCCTGCGTGGGCTGCTGTGCAAACAGCATGTGTTCAGGCCAGGTCCTGGCGGTGGGAGGATGGGTCAAGCCTTCAGGTAGGGATTAAACACCAAATTGCTTGAAAAAAAAATATCCTTGGGTGGGTGGATTAGAGGCGCTCTGCAACACTCCTGTGGCCAAGTGACAAAAAGTCATCTGATTGATAGCTGGGTGATTCAGGTGGAGAAAAAGACTTTGTACCGTCGCTTTGGGAAAGTAATTTGTGTGATAAGAAGTCTTTGTGATGGAGGTAAGAACGCCTTAAATCCATCAGTGCTCTGTGGCCCCTGCAATGCTTTGAGTGCTCCTGTTTTGGCAGGGTTATGTTTGCCTTGTCCACGTGCAAGTGTGTCATGCACAGTGGCTTTCAGGTGCTCCCAAATCCCAAGGAAATATTGAAAACTTTGCAGGTGACTGTCCTTAGCACAGATATTGTGTGTAAGAGTGAAGCCTGTGTTGAACCTGTGCAGAGGGACAGAGGAAGATGCTGCTGCTTTGGCACACCTGATGAGGTCTGTCCTTGTTGAGGTTGTCCTTGTCCTGCAGTCCTGAAGGGTCAGGACTGGGTGATCACTGTAGGTCCCTTTCAATTGAACTGTTCCATTCTATGGATGTGCATGGAAGTCCCTTGTGGTGAGGATGGTGGATTACTCGAATTGCTAAGTACTTTTGTGCTGCAACCTCTTGTTTTGGGGCTTTTGTACTGAGCAGAAGTCAAATCATCACAGTTTAGTTGTGAACTGGAAATAGTGCAGTGCAATCCATGGTAAATAAGAGCCCAGAAGAATTTAGCAGATCCTGAATTCTTCACAGTGGGCTGTCTGCACCTTTTACTGTGCAAGGTGGCAACAGGGGTGCTCTATGCCAAGCCATGAGGATTCTGCAGAAGGGTGGTGGACAGAGGGTGGTGGGCACATCTGGCTCTCACCAGCTCTTAATAACAGTGATATCTTGCCCAAATACAGATTTAAGGGTTGGGGCATCCCCTGCATGGGGCAGTGATTTGATAAGGAAGGGTTGTTTGGGGAGCAGGTGTGAGGGTGAGATTTGTTATCACAGGTGGTGAAGTTAAGGCAGAACAGGTGAGAGTGCATGCAGAGAAACTCTCTCTCAAATACCCTCTTCCTTTCAGCCTCTCTCCTCTTCCTCTTTGTCACTACCTGGGGGAACTGTCCCTCTTTTGCAGGGTCAGTGCAGTCACTGCAGAGAGCAGCTGATAACACTGTTATCTGCACCTGGGTGATGCAGATGGGGGCTGATGATAGTGTTACCTACAGTGGGGTGATAACCCTGGAATCACTGTGCTGTGGGGGTGTGTGAGCTGGGTCTGTGGGACACAGAGGTTTGGGAGCAGTGTGTCAGTGATGAATAACAACCAGTACCTCAAATCAGAGATTTGGGCTTCCTTTTGTTGAGCCTGATCTGTGCCTTGGTATAGTGTGGGGCTTGTTTGAGGAAGCATCCTTCAATTAACATACCAGGCTGGGCCAAGCTACTGGAGAGCTTTCCTTGCTGGTGGAAAATGTTCATACTGCAGCCTCAATGCCTTCTGTTTGCCTTTCAGCACAAAACTGCAGCTTTGGTCCCTCTATGAGAATCCTTGTGTTGATTTCCTCTTGGAGAGTGGCTTTTGGGAAACCTCAGCACCTCGTGGTTAATAAACCACTGGTTTGCTGCTCCTTGGTCTTAGTCCCTCCGTGCTGGTGCTAACAGAACAGCAAGAGTCATTAGAGAAATATGCAAGATATTCCAGTTATTTCTCTTTGGATGGTGCTGGTAGCAAGTAAAAGAGATAAACAGAGCTGTGCTTAGCTTATTACATCATTGGTTTTACTGAAAGGGTCAAGGTCCAGCTCTGGATGTTGTTGCAGGATGCATTTGAGCTGCTCCTGAGCTGAGCTGTGCTGTGCCAGAGGGAAAATGTTTGGGAAAAGCATCATTTTAGTGCTCACCATGTGTTCCTTCTAAATGGTGGCCGTGGCTGAAGTGCCTTGGTGGAGTTCATGATGGGACAAGTCCTGTCAGGTTAATTTCTTGGCTTTGCACTGGAAAACTCTGCTCTTGGCTCCTGTTAAGCCCCAGGAGCTGCTCCTCCTCTGGCAGGGGCAGCCAAGGGAAGCCCTGCTGACATCTGGAGCAGCCTGGTGGGTGTTGGGGCTGGGAGGGACTGTCAGGGCTCCCTGGTGGGGAGCCACACACCAGAGTGGGGCTCTGTCCCTCTCCTGTCCTCAGCTTTCTGCTAGGATGGCTCCTGGTGGCTTTGCTGCCTGGATCTGCTTCTCTGGTGGCCTAGGCTGAGGTCTGCTTGCTCCTCTTGTGACGTGAAATTAAGGATTTGAGGAACTCTGCCCATTCTTGCCTATTTTTGTTTGGTTTGGGGGTGCTTACTGAGACTCTCCACAGTGCTCTTCCTGAGAATATGAATTGTTAAAGACATGCACAACACACCGGGCTGATGACACAAGAAAAAAACTGTTTGTTTAATCATTCCAATATTTTAAAGACATGCACAACACACCTGGCTGATGACACAAGAGAAAGAGAGAAACTGTTTGTTTAATCATTCCAATATTTCAGCAACTTCACCTCCAGCATTACAGGTGTGAATAAAATCTGGTGTGAGCCTGTAAGAGCTGAGGATGTGTTTTCACAGTTGGCTTTTGGACTTAGCACAAAAAGCGCTGAAGATTGTAACTGTCTTCATCTCTGGATGGGAATGAGCTAATTCTAGGCTTAGTCTGTGTCCAGGAAATCCTGTGCTGGAGAGCTTCCCTTTCAGGAACCCAGTGGGGCTGTCCCAGGGAGGTGGTGTGGTGCCCTGAGGCTTGATGAGATGGAGCAAGGCTTCCTGTACCTGGTTCAGCTTGGGAAGTTGATTCACTTTTCATGCAGGTGTTGCCAGGGAGGTGCAGGTTGGTGTCTCACCCCTGAGGGAGCTTCCCAGGCAGCAGTGGCTGTGTGGGTGCTGTGGGAGTCACCAGGAGCTGATGAAAGTGGGAAATGTTTGTGGAAGAACATGGGATGTGTTGAACAGGATCTCCCTTTGGTGCATGGGGATCTGACCCCCTCCCCGACCTGTACTGGGCTGGATTTCCAAAACCTTGCACAGGTGTGGTTGAAGGGCTCTGGGCTGCATCACAGGACATCACCACCTTCATGGCCATGTCCAGGAGTGTGTCCCTGCAGGAGTGCCTCCAGCCCAAAGAGGATTCTTGCTAATCCCTGCTTCCCTCTCCAGGGAAGCTCTGCCTGCCCCGAGCGTGGAGCACTGACACCACCCCAGCTCAGGACCCTGGGGGATGCTGGCTGCTGGAGGCTGTGCCAAATGCTTGCATGGGACACAACTTGTGGCATCTCCCATCAAACCTCCTGCAAGGTACCTTGCTCTGTTTTGGGGCTGTCTCTGACGTAATCTGTCAAGACAGGGGCTGCTCTTTGACTTGCTGCTGGAGGTCTGGTTGGGGATGGGTGACCAGTTGCTTACCTAGCATTACCAAAGCAACGAGTTGTTGCTTTCCATGACTCATGAAAATGCACTGTAGGCTCTCTTAAGAATGGCTGAGATCATTTTTTGGCTGGCTTTGGGCATCTGGTTTCCTTAGCAAATAGCAGTGGGGGTGGAGGGAGGGGGATTTCCAAACTCGTTTCTTTGTATGTGTGATCTGGTTTTTAGAGCTCGGCTCAGAAAGTACTTACTTCATTTTAAAAATGGGATAAAAAAAAAAAAAAGGACCTGTAACTTCCATGTCTGTTCAGTTTTTGTAGCATGTTTCATTTAGTCGTGGTTTGGTGTAAAAAGGGGAAAGGTGCTAATAATATTACAGGCTGTGGTTCTCCTCTTAAATAAGCAAGGATAGAAACACGATGAGTGGTATTTTCCTTTTAGAGCAAATCTTTCTGGGGAAGGAGAAGGAGGTACAAAGGAAATTCTACAAACAAAACTGTAATTTAATCTTTTTTTTTTTTCTCTTTTGACTGTGTTTGCTCAAATAGGGGACTTTGATGCAGCAGAGCAGAGTCTTAGCAAGAGGTGTTTTAGTTAATCTGATTATTTGGTTAATCTGATTATTATTTTAAAAATATTTTATGTTATTAATATTATTTTAAAATATTTCTATTCTTTTATATTTATATATTATTATTTTAAAATATTTCTATTCTTTTATATTTATATATTATTATTTTAAAATATTTCTATTCTTTTATATTTATATATTATTATTTTAAAATATTTCTATTCTTTTATATTTATATATTATTATTTTAAAATATTTTTATTCTTTTATATTTATATATTATTATTTTAAAATATTTCTATTCTTTTATATTTATATATTATTATTTAAAAATATTAATTTATTTATGTGTGGGCCCTGGGTTCACTTTCTGTTTTTTTCCTGCGTGGTTCAAAGGCAGCAGCACAGACATCCTTGAGAACCAAGTGCAGCAAGATAAGCACTAACCAGAAGAGAGTCAGAGCCCTGTGACAGCTTCAGAGGGCAGGAGGTCCCCAGGTGCTCTGACACCTCTGCAGCAGCCCCTGGGATAATCCTTCCCAAGGCCAGCCACCCTCTGCAGGCACCTGAGAGCAGACAGAGAGAAGGGAGGGGAAATCCTGGGCAGGCAGAAGGTAATGAATTGTTTGGACAGGGAGATTTGTGCTGCTGTGGGTTTGGTGTGCCCATCCTCTGCAGGGCTGGCAGGAGCCAGGGCTTGGTGTGAATTTGATAGCTGTGAAGCAGCCTCTGGTGCTGGGCATGGTCTGTGCAGGGTTGATGCTGCAGCCAGGGCAGGCAGAAGCGTGTCCCGGAGTGCTGAGGGATGACTGGAGCTGCAGATCCGTGCTGGGAGCAGCAGGAGCACAGCAGCTCGGTGGCCCTGGGCCAGGGCTGATGGGAGCAATGTGACTGAACAGGTTTGTGCTGCCTGCCCTGGGAGCTGGGCTGGGAGAATGCAGAAGCCCAGAGCTTTGCCAGAGAGCTTCCCTTGCTCTGAGCCCGGCGAGCAGAGAAGCTGAGCTGCTGCTGTCCCTGTGAAAAGCTGATGAAAAGCAAAGCCTTGGAGCTCGAGGAATGGCACGGCTCAGCTCCAGGGAGGGTGATGGATGCCACCCCAGGGTTTGGCTCAGGGCTGCTGCCTGCCCAAGCACCCTGTGCCAGGAGCTGCTGTGAGCTCCTCAGCTGCTCAGCCCCTTCATCTTCTCCTCCACCTCTGCATTTCTCTGCATCTCTGCTAGTTAGTTTGGACAGAATGGGTAAAGACCACTGATTTAACAAGAAGTGTAGCCCTTACCCTATTTTTTCCATGGATATAATGTATTTAATACATGAATATAATGTATTTAATACATGAAATGTATTCAGTGCATGGCGTAGCACACCACAGATCTTCTACGTCTTAATTGTTTTGTTCCATGCAAAAATAGGAAATAAACGTGACCTGAGGTCTTCTTCTCTTTGTGGTGCATGTTAGTATTTGAACACGTGGCCAAAGTTTATTTTTCTGAACTGGTGGGCAGCTGCAGCCCAGGTGCCTCTGGTGCCATGGTGACACTGCCCCAGGCTCAGCAAGACCATGGGATGAGCTCTCTGAGATCCAACACAGGCTTTTTCAAAAGGTTAAGTGTTTACAGACTAATTTTTACCATCAGGTAAATTTCTGCTGGGCAAGATCCACCAGCAGCTGTGAATCTGGTGGTTTTGGTGAGCAGGGAATGCCAGCAGGTGAGCTGGCATAGCTGAATTCCGTGGCTTTACCCTGCTTGATGCTGGATAAAAGAAGTGGGAGCAAAATTTAGAAAGACGTTCTGCTGTATTATTATTTTATTATTTTAAAACTGCTGTGCGTTGATATTTTCCCCCAGTGCATAATGTTCTTTTGACTAGGAAAGCCAGTACCAGGGCACCCCAAAGGGGCTGCTTAATTTCTAGGCAGGTGTTGCTTTGAAAGCTGTATTTTTTGATCTTACAGATGAAGATGTTGAAGGAGCCCACTCTCCCCAAAATTAAGTCATTCCCTGTCCAGTCTAAGGTTTCCAGTGTATAGTATTGGTGAAAAGGAATTCTGGATCACATTCTTTCCTCCAAAAAATACAGATTTATTTATTTTAAAGTAGATGTTTCTATTCCTTCTTGTTTGAGCATTTCAGACATGACTTACACTTCTTCAACTTTTGACATCTGCAAATACTTCTTTTTAACAAAAAAAAAGGGGGAAGTGTGGATTCTGATGTAATCATGTGACTCCAGGAACAACGTTCTTATGAAAAACACAGAATCCTGTGAGAATTTGCAATGCTCAGGGTTATCCCATTGTTCAGCAGAAAATGAAGCAAAACTTTATACTCCCAGCTGCCCCATCCCTTGGTGTCCATTGTCCATCTTGTTGCAAGAGATATTGCCACTGTGTGGCTTTTGGTGAGTTTTTTGGGTGGTTTTATTTGTGTGTTTTTTGTTTGGTTGGTTGATTTTGTGTTTTTTGGGTTTTTTTAATGGTGTGGGGTCTTTTTTATGGTTTATCTAGTGATATATTTTTCTCCTTGCATGGTGAAATTCGCAGCTCTGTGGCCTTGAGGCTCTCAGGTGCTCTCTGGGTTATGTGTGAGGATGCTCTCTTGTGGAAGCCTTGCTCTCTTCAGGCATTTTAAAACCAAGAGAGAGCCTTGCTGCTGTTGTGGCATGAATCAGTGCCAGTGGAAATTGCCATGTCAACCTAAACACCTAAGCTGCATTGGAGCCTCTTCACCCAAACCCTTGGGTTCCTTGAATTTCCCTTTCTGGGGTGGTTGGGTTTTTTTGAGCTTTTTTTCTGACAACCTCTCACAGGAGGCTTGACCTGGATGTTTGCTGTCTGTGCTCTTGCCAACCTGCCTTTTGCAAAAGTAAATGAAGTGCCTTTCCATGTCGGACAGCAGCAGGCTTGAGAGCCCAGAGAAGTATTCTGAGAGTACAAAAACGAGGAGCCTGTGCTGCCTCCTTCAGCTCTCCAGAGCTCCCTTCCCACCAGAGCCGTTCTGGGATTCTGTGAACATCTGGAAAACAAAACATCTCCAGAGGGCAACTCTCCCAGCACAGGCAGGCGAGCAGAGCCAGTGTGTTCCTCTGCAATGTGGGAGATATTTGTCCTGTGACTAAGCAGAAAAGTTAAGAGATGGAAAAGGTCCTGTTAGATCATCTCATCCACCTCCCTGCTGGCTGTTCTCCCTGGTGTATATTTATTAATAGGCTGTTGGGCAGACAGAAGGGGTTTGCTCAGGGCACTGAGGAGCAGCAGCCTGTGCAGGTGAGGGGCTCTGCATGTGACACAACCTGCCAATTGCAATTGTTGCTTGCAGCAATTGGATTTTGTAGTAAAAGGGCCAAAAGCTCTCGACTTGACATTCTTGGCGTGTTTGGAGCCTTCCCCTTAACTTGCTGTCAGTTTGTGCAGGCATGAGCTTGTCTTTTTATAGCATTCTAGGAATAAGCTAATTTTACTTGATATTTATGATGGAGTAGGTGGCTTGAAAACTAATAATAATAGGGGGGGAAAAAATAGAAGCCTTTTGGAAAGGAGAGGTCAGCCAGCTGGCCCTCTGCACAGCTGGCCTGGGCTCTGCTGGCCATGATCTACACCAGTGGTGTGCAAGGGCTCCCAGAGGAGATGTCAGAGAGGTGCAGGTGGAAATGCTATTGCCATGACAAACAGAGCAGTGCTGGAGTGTCAGGCCAGAGCTTGGGGACCATCAGCACTGCTTGGTTTATCACTGCTTAGTAACCACAGCACGGTGAACGTGGGTTGGTTTTTATTCCTCATTCCCCAACTGCAGCTCAGGTTGGAATCACTGAGTGTTGAGAGCAAAGGCAGAAATTCTGATCAGGAAAGAACTGGAGCATGTGCTCTTGTGGGGAATGGGAGCAGGAATTTCCTATCCAGGCATGTGCTGAACTGCCTTCTCCTGCTGTGCTGGTTTTTGCACTTAGGATCACTCTGCTGGCTCTAGAGGTGTCTCCTGGTCAACACCAGTGTGAGATCAATATTTAGGGTTAAGTGTGAGATCAATATTTAGGGTTAAGGATCAATATTTAGGGTTAAGGATGAGAACTGTTCTGTGGTGCAGGTGAGCAGCCAACCTTCCTCTGCACCTGTGACATCTTTTTGCTGGTGGTGGCACTTGGTTGGGCGCCAGGGGCTGTTCTGATCATCCATTTCCTGACACCACAGTACATTTTGTGTGGTTTTTGGAAGTGTTTTGGGACATCTCTTGGCTGAGCAGTTGCTCATTTGCATGGGAGAAGCTCTCCCAGATCCATGGAGGGTGTTTCATGGTACAGGCAGTGTCCCTGGCACCACTGGTCTTTCTCTTGGCTTGTCCTGTGGAAGTGACAGTATCACAGA